CTAATTAAATTATTATAATAAATTATAATTTATAAATATTATGTCAAAATATCAGCTGAAAATTCACATTTGATTTTTAATAAAAATAAATTTCAGACGAAATGGGACAATTCCGCCTTGTTTTATGCTTCCGGTGAAATCGATGGCACACCGCATTACATTGCAGCTTCCATTATAAACGGATCAGTTCACGTTGAACTCGATTTCGGACATAATTCGAAAATCTCCACCACTTTGGGTGATTATGTCATATCTGATCATTGGAATGATTTGACCATATTCCATAACGGAACCACCGTCTTCGTTAGCTTAGACGACGAGGTAAAGGTTCTAGAAGTACCGGGAGAAAATTGCGATATCATCATCGATCCAGAAATATATATCGGTGGTGGTCCCGAACTCCACAAGAAGAAGGGTCTTTTGTCGCACAATAATTTTGCAGGTTTGATGAAACTACAACACTGGACATTAATTATTAATCGAATAATGTAGTCCATTAATTAATGCAATTTTCAATTTTTCTAGGTTCCTTGAAGTACGTGTTTTTCAACGATAAGTCAATTATATACGAATTGAAGCGTTCCAATCCTATGGTACACTACATCGGTGTATTGGAACCAGAATACTACCAAGCCGACGTCGAAGTCATTCCGATCACATATCCTTTCGCGGGAAGTCACATCTGGTGGCCAATCGAACAAACCAATTCGCTGAAATTGAACTTCGATTTTAAAAGTTCAACGCCAATCGCGATCATCGCTTCTGGAGATGTAAAGAGCAATCGCGGTGTTGGTTACTGGGAGGTATGATTATATATATAATATCGCTCTCTATTTTATCTTTTTTAACATTTTCAATATTTTTTATTTATTTATACTTTTCTCCATAGTTACGTCAAGTCAATGACGAAATTCGATTCCAATTGGTACCAGTTATTACGGAGAATATTACATTGTCAACTTCGGTGAAGTTTCCGCCTTACAACACTTCCTGGCATGCGGTTGACCTTAATTATACAAAGGGTGAACTTAATATCGTTCTCGATTATAGGAATAAACAGAGTAAACTCTTCGCTATGACGTTTGAGTTAGGTGATAAAGTCATTATAGGAAGTGGTAAAAGTAACGCAGGTAAATAGGTAATATTAAATTTGAAAGATAAAAAATTTACATGAACATAAAAAAAGATTCTTATATCATCAATTTAGGTCTAGTAGGATGTATGCGTGAGATACGAGTGAACGGTCAAAGAATTGAACCTAGATACGTAATTAATACCGAAAGAGTAGTCGGAGAAGTTGCTTTAGACAATTGTCAATTTGTGGATCCATGCAAAAGGCCGAATACTTGCGAACATGGTGGTAAATGTTCAGTTAAAGAAGATAGAATCACATGTGATTGCACAGACACTGGATATATAGGAAAGAACTGTCATTTTGGTAAGACAAATTGCGACAAATAATCAATTCAAGTTAATTAAAATAATATCAAATTAATGCATGAAACTAAAAATTAAAAAATGTAATTTCTGTAAACTTTTCTAAAAAAATTGTTATAATAAATTAATTTTCTTAACACTTACAAATAGTCAATTTTATTAATTATACAACTTTGAGTGGTTATTAACTTTATGCGATTTATAAAACTAATTCAGAATTTTAAATTAAAAGTGTTTAAAATGATATAATAATAAAAATTTGGTTTTTTTTAAGTAGATAATTTTTATATAATAAAATATAATAACGTTTATTTAAATTTTTAATGTCATTTGAAATTAATGAAATTTTTAATGTCATTGTTTAGCACAATACAGAAAAACATGTGAAGAATTGGCTCTTTTGGGATACACGCAAGACGACGTTTACAAAATCGATATCGATGGAAACGGTCGATTCCCACCCGCTTTAGTAAAGTGCGAATTTCAATCGATCGAAGATTCGACTAAAACAATCGTCGAGCACAATTTACCCTCCCAAGTAGACGTCAGATCTATCATCGAAAACGATTTCTCCTTCAGCATCAAATATAGACAGTTTACTGCTGAAATGCTTCAAGAGCTGATCTCGCACTCACTTTATTGCAGCCAATATGTAAAGTATGATTGTTACAAAGCACCCTTGGAACTACACAGCGCCACGTGGTTTCTAGGCTCCAAAGGTACTACCGTTGATTACATCGGAAACGTCAATCGTGGATCCTGTCCTTGTGGAAGTAAGTTCTTTCTTAAATAAATTCCCAATGTAATAAATTTAAAATTGTATTATTAAGCCTTGCATTTGGAAAGGCTTGTGAAGATTGTTATTTATTAATTTTACTTTAGTGAACAGAACATGCGTGAACTCCAACTTGAGCTGTAATTGTGACGTGTCTGCTGGAAATGCTGGAAAGTGGCTGTCAGATGAGGGATACTACGAAACACCTGATTCCTTAGGCATCACCGGAATGGTATTCTTGCAACAGAGAGATCTTGAGGAAGATGCTCGGGGACGTATCACCTTAGGGCCATTGGAATGCGTTGAAACAAGTAAGCAAATACATACTGATTTACAAATAGAAACTATATGTCTGTCTTCTATTTAACCAATATAATTTTACTTTTTAAAAGTAAATTCAGTATGTTAAGTTAGCACCCCAACTATAGTACTCAGGAGTTCTGATTAAAGTTCCCACTTCTTTTTGACGAGACGAAGAGTTCCCTATAGTTAATAACAAGAGTTCCACTCAATAAACATTTTTTTTACATTTTTTTAAAATGGGGTGCTAACTTTTTATTGAATTTCGAGATGGAATAGTTCTGAGTGGCTTAATAGCTTCAATTTGCGATTGCCTAGAGTTCCTGATATGTAAAAAAAATTTTCGAATATTAAAAAAAAAATTTTTAATTTTTGAAAAATTAATTTTTAAATACAATAGTTCTGATGTTAATTTCTGCTTCTTTTTGACGATACGAACCTACGTTGTAATTTTAGGGGAATTAACAAGTCAGTTTGGTGTTTTCCAGATTTGTTTGTGTATCTCCAATAATTCTGAATCGCGCGCGTAGCGCGCGCAGGAAAATGCTAGTATCTTAAAATTGGCGTGTCACGCTTTTTTGAAGCCTCTTTTCGTTGAGGCTGTTGGAATTCTCTGATTTTGATGTGGTTTCGTATTCGAGGATTTTCGGGGTCGATTATTTCGAATCTGTACTCAAAAATTGAAAATTCGAAATAGTGGATCCAATATGGCGGAAAAGTAACGGAAATCATAAAGATTGTTCGATTTTGGTGAAATTAGGTTCATTGGTGATTTAGGGGGCGTTCGTTACGAATCCGTACTCAAAAATTGAAAGATCGAAATAGCTGATCTAATATGGCGCACGGAAATGTTATTGAAATCCTTAAGATTCTTCGATTTTGTTGAAATTTGGTTACAGGTGGTTTTTGGGGACATTCGTTACGAATCCGTATTTAAAAATTGAAAGTTCAAAATGGCGTTTTGATTCAGTTTATTAAAATCTGTTTTCGTTAATCTGGCGGATGGAATATAAGGGGGATTTTGGTTTTAGTGTTTTTGAAGTAGAATTTAAATTAGCAAAAAAAACCATTCAAGAATATGTACTTGATTTTTTATTTGCTGCAATTTTTCTTTGTGACTGTGCCAACTTTAGTCTTAAGTCAGCACAGCCACACTGTGGATCGCATCCTTCGACGTAAACGATGAGCAAAAAAATCGGATTCTGGATATTCTTAGAGCAAATAATTCTAGAAACATTTTGAGACCAAAATTATTCCAGCAATTAATTGCTTTAATGTACTTTACTCTTGTACGCGAGCCAGCACAGCCACACTGTGGGTCGAATTTTTCGACGTAAACGATGAGCAAAAAAATCGCGAATAGAGCAAAAAATTAGCAAAAAAATAGCCCTTCAAGAATATGTACTTGATTTTTCATTTGCTGCTATTTTTCTTTGTGGCTGTGCCAACTTTAGTCTTAAGCCAGCACAGCCACACTGCGGGTTGAATCTTTCGATGTAAACGATGAGCAAAAAAACCGAATTCTGGATATTCTTAGAGCAAATAATTCTAGAAACATTTTGAGTTCAAAATGATCCCTGCAATTAATTGCTTTAATGTACTTTACTCTTGTACGCGACCCAGCACAGCCACACTGTGGATCGAATTTTTTCGACGTAAACAATGAGCACAAAAATCGGATTCTGGATATTCTTAGAGCAAATAATTCTAGAAACATTTTGAGACCAAAATGATCCCGGTAATTGATTGCTTTAATGTACTTTACTCTTGTACGCGACCCAGCACAGCCACTCTGTGGATCGAATTTTTCGACGTAAACGATGAGCAAAAAAATCGAATTCTGGATATTCTTAGAGCAAATAATTCTAGA